CTCGTACTTCCCTCCCTCCCTCCCCTCCCCTCCCCTCCCCTCCCCTCCCCTCCCCTCCCCTCCCCTCCCCTCCCCTCCCCTCCTCTCCTCTCCTCTCCCCTCCTCCCCTCTTTTCATCTTCCTCCAAAGGCATTACTTCTTCGCAAGCTCCGTCCGTGTGTATGATCCCGCCTCCAGCGGCAGGCAGAGGTACTGACCCCACCCTGCATGTCCGTCAAGGCGAGCAGAAGCATCTCCCTCCTGACTCTCCTCCACTCGTCTTCAGCTGCCATCCTACGATGCTCACCGGCACCTCAAGTTTCTCTGCCATGGCGCGCCTGACCGGCGTCAATAAGACACAATCATGTGCGAAGATACCTTTCCGCCGCCATGTTGGACCAGAAGTTGCCTATGGCTGCTCCTATCTGTCTCCCCTGGTTGAGAGCTCCTGCGATGGCGGCGTTTGCTCTCCCCTGCTCCTTCGCCTCCCCTCCGTCGCCCTGTTGTGCCGCTGCTTCCTCGGCCAGCAGCTGCTCTAGGAGTGCGTCGTCCGGCTCCTCCTCCTTCTTCTCTTCTCCTCCTCCCGCCTGCTCTTCTGTCTTGTCCTGATCTCTCGACCCTCCATGCTTCTCCTCCCCCTCCTCCTTCTCCTCCTCCCTGCCTCCCCCGTTCTCCCCTTGTTCCGCCATGTTCGCCGTCCTACTTTTAAAGGACCACCCCCCCGTACTCCTACAGTTTGTGCTGCGAGGTTAGTGTGGGTGCTTTCTTCGAGTCGGGGAGATGGCGGGAAACATGGCCGAAAACTTACGAGAGGAGGAGGAGGAGGAGGAGGAGGAGGAGGAGGAGGAGGAGGAGGAGGAGGGATGGCCGAAGATTCTAGTCCTCCCACCTTCGACGCAGGGGAAGACCATGATCGGGGTGATGGAGGAGTGAACTGAGAAGGAGGGTGGGCGACGAGTGCATTTTCCGTCTCTTGCGAAGTGACGATGGAGGAGAAGACGAGAAAGGAGCTTGAGCGACAGGAGCGCATTGCAGCTAGGAAGAGGCGGTTGCAAGAGAGGGAGGAGCGGGGCGGAGACTTCTTCACAGACAAGGCTCATGCAGACACGGCAGAACAGGCTGGGACAGCTTCTGGAACCAGTGAGGGGAGGGAGAACCCCTTCGAGGAGCGGAAAGAGCGGGAGAAACAGGGGGTGATGGAGGTTGTGGAGGGGATCAGCGGGTCTGAACCCTCGTCCTCCATTGTCCCTGGGCTGCTCGACCCTGCCAAGAGGACATTGAAGGCGTCAGCTTCTCCTGCTCCTCTACATGCTGCTGCCCTCGACCTCGATTATCTCACCGTCGAACGCAACCAGCGCAGGAGCGAGGTAGCAGCAACGAGCTTCAAGGTAGCGGAGCCCAGAGCCCAGGGACGGCAGCGAGCTGCTGGGGTCAAGACCGGGCAGAAGCCTCCTAGGGTCGAGCTTGCTGAGGACGAGATCAGAGCTCTCGAGCAGCTCTCAGAGAATGTGTTCGATGCTGTTCCTGAGGGGGCGGTGAGGAGAGAGGAGGATGGGGACGGAGGAGCCGGGCGGGACTTCGTTCAAGTCCGTAAGAAGATGGATGCCCGGAGTGTCGAGCGTCTCATCAGGCAGAATGAGGAGCTCCGCAAGATCACCATGGCGCAGAGGAAGGAGCTGGATCAGTACCAGAGCTTGCAGAAGCTGCAGGAGGGGAGGCGAGAAGAAGATCAAGAGGAGCAGGAGCAGGAGGAGCAGGAGGAGCACAAGGATCGATCGGTTCGTCGTCGTCCTCCTGCGCACCTGCAGCAATCTTGGCAAGGGTCTCGCACCCGCGGGGAGAGGGAGCAGGTTCCAGCAGCTAAGGCGGGCAGGAGCGAGGAGGTGGAGTTCGACTCCTACTTCGAGAGCGAGGCCAACAGGTGGAATCCGAGGGCTGCTGGAGTCAAGGTGGGGAAGCAGCAACCCGACTCTAGAGTTGTGGGCCAGCAGCGTGCTCGGGTCATCGTGACCGCAAAGATGACGGAGGAGGAGGAGGAGGCGAAGAGGCGCCAACGCCTGGTGAGAAGGAGGAGAAGGAAGAGGAAGAGGAAGAGGAGGAGGAGGAGGAGGAGGAGGAGGAGGAGGAGGAGGAAGAGGAGGAAGGGATCATGCTCGTCGCTGATTTTGTCTTTCCATGAATTTACAGCAAGTTGAGCTGGAAGAGCTGGGAATCGATCCGAATACGCGAGACGTGCAGCGAGCGGCAGCGGACAAGATAAGTAAGTGAAAGGAGGATGGGATGAGATGAGGAAGTGAAGCAAAGGATGATGAGAGCGATAAGAGAGGATGTGCAGTTGTCATAGAAGGTTGATGGTTGTGTTATGGTGTACACTGACAATGTTTTGTTCCAGGTCGTCTTGAGCAAGAGCTTGAAGCTCTGCAACAAGCCCTGGAGGAAGAAGAAAACGAGGAGGAGGAGGAGGAGGAGGAGGAGGAGGAGGAGGAGGAGGAGGAGGAGGAAAGGGGGAGGAGGAGGAGGGAGAAGCAAGCTCCGACGAGGAGACGGTGATCAAGAGCTTGCAAGATGAGCTCCGAAGATTGAAGTTGAAGATGATAGAAGACGATGAAAGGGCGGAAGGAAATTGCGGCAGCAGGACAGCAACAGCTACAGGAGGAGGAGGAGGATCTGGTGGAGAGGGTGGGAGGGACAAGGGACAAGAGCTCTCTGACGATCATCGTCACACTCATCCTGGTCGTCCGTCGCGGGAAATTTCTCCTCAACTCTCACCAGGCAGCCAAGAAGATGCGCTGAAGGAGGCAGATCGTCTGCTAGAGAGTTACGCCCCTCCTCGAGCTGGAGGAGGAGGAGGAGCAGCAGCAGCAGCAGGTAGAGGACCAGGATCAGGATCAGGAGTAGGACGTGCAACAGCAGCCGCAAGAGGAGGAGGATCAGGATCAGGAGGAGGAGGAGGAGGAGGAGGAGGAGGAGGAGGAGGAGGAGCTGCTGCTGGTGGTGGAGAAGGAGGTCAGCAAGACTATCTGATCATCGACGGGTCCGAGGACGAAGAGACTCCTCGTCTGGGCGTACAATGGGAGAGAAAGCCTACCGCTCCGACGTCGAACAAGTTTCAACGGAAAGAGATGAAGGAGGAGGAGGAGGAGGAGGAGGAGGAAACCCCTCGGATGACACGAGCAGTGACGATCGACAAGATGCAGCAGCAGGAGAAGCAGGAGAAGCAGGAGAAGCAGGAGAAGCAGGAGAAGCAGGAGAAGCAGGAGCAGGAGCAGGAGGTCGAGGCTACCCCCCGCATGCATTTCTCGTCTCACGTTGCTCAGCAAAAGCTGGCGGCCCGATGTCAGGACGCGCCGATCACGATGATGAAGGAATTTCTAAGTTCCTTGGGAGGAGCAGGAGGAGGCGGAGATGAAGAAGAGAAGATGATCAGCAAGGAGGAGGAGAGTTTGTATCATAGTCCACGCGGGGATACCGACAACTATCACAACACGCACCGCAGCAGGAGCAGGGGGGAGAGCGACGACAGACCGAACAGCGAATTCAACAGCCAACTGAGAACGAATGCAAATGGAGGAAGAGGATACAATGATAGTGTAGATGAAGAGTTTGAAGAATTCGAAGGAGGAGGAGGAGGAGGAGGAGAGGACAGGTTTGCCAAGGCAGCCTCACAAGAGAAGTGTAGGGAGCCGACCGCAGCCCGTCGAGACCTGGTGCCTTCGACCGCAGACGACAGGACGGAGATCGAGACCAACGTGTTCGACTGGGAGGACGAAGAAGTTGATGACGAGGATGCACAAGAGAAGGTTTGGTCGGAGAACATCGCGATGATCGCGGATGTTGTGGAGGACGTGGAGGGAACGAAAGTCGAAGTCGTCGAGCCGCGGGCAAGAGCCGAGACGAGCATGGGGAGGACAGCAGAACCGGACATAGATGTAGATCGATCTGCTAGTCAACATGTGGAGGAGAGGGGTAGAAGAAGTCACGTTGTTGCACGGGACGTCAGAGAGGTCATGGTGAATGCTCTCAACGAGGTTGATTCCGACGACGAGGATGCGAACAAGCGTGTTGAACAGAGGAAGCGACCGGAGAGCGGAGGAAGGAGCAAGGTAGAATGTGACAGGGAGCAGGACGAGCGAGCGGCAAGCTCCTTCGACGCATCTGACGTGCAGTCAGACAAGAAGGACTCTGCTACCTCCCTGCCCACTCGCTTTCCATCTCACCGCAGTGACCTCGCGCAGCCTCTTCCTCCCACTCTCCAACAGGGGACGGCAAGCTTGTACAAGCAGCACAGTGCTCACTCGGCAGGAGAGGAGGGAGAGAAGACAGGGAGGGATGTCGAGCGAGACTCTGACGATAAGGATGATCTCTGGAAGAAGAAGCCGAGCAGTCATGAGGAAAAGAGGGCAAGAAGTGGAAGACAAGAAGGAAGGAGGAGGAGGAGGAGGAGGAGGAGAAGGAGGAGGAGGCGGAGGAGGAGGAGGAGGAGGAGGATGCTCAGCGTGTACGCAACCTTGGCGCCATTCTGTCTCATCAGATTTCTTTCCTTGGCCTGGTTGACGTCAATTCATGGAAGAAGAGCGACAAGAGGAAGGGGGGAAAGAAGAAATCAAGGCGACTTGCGGAGAGAGGAGGAGGAGGAAGAGAGAAGGGAACTTCGTCTGATGATGACGACGATGACGATGACGATGATGATGATGATGATGATGACGACGACGACGACGACGATGATGATGATGATGATGATGATGATAGGGAGAATGAGGCGCATACAAAGCGCAACCACAGTCTCGGAAGTGGAGCAAGAGGAAGTAGCAAGAAGAGTGTAGGGGTTGAGTGGCGGAGTTCAGGGCGAAGGAGGGAGGAGAAGGAGCAAGAGGAGGAGGGGTTTTCTTCTGGATCCGAGAGTGGGTATCCCGAGGGGTTCGGCCAGACTCTAATGCCAGTAGAGGAGATTAGGAGGACACGAAGGGAGGACGAGGGGACTGGCACGAAGACGGAAATTCTCCTTGGCCCTGGAGGGAGGAGAGAGGAGGGAAAGACAGACTTCAAGGACCTTTCGCAACGCCGTGTGCTCCCGGACGGAAGGCTGAGGGAGGAGGAGCGGGAGGGGGAGGAGCGGGAGGGGAGGTGGGCTGGATCGCAAGAGGAGATGCCGCGCAAGCAGGGGGTCAACCTCAGGGAAGAAGCCGCAAAGATGCTGCAGCAAGCCAGCATGCTGCGAGAGGCGGCCAAGGTGGCAGCAGAGGAGGGGAGGAGGCGCGAGCAGGCGGAGATGGCGGCGAGGCAGGCGAAGAAAGAGCTGGAGGAGCTGAAGGACAGGATGAAGGTGAGGGAGGGGGGATGCAGCTACATAGCCCTGATGATGAAGTGGCAGAGGAAGGAGGAGGTCAGCAGAAGAACTCACGTCCCCCTCCGTCTCGGCCCGGAGGCCAGTGGAGAGGACGAGCTGCAGGCATGGCAGCAGCTGCACAGGTCGATGAGAGCAGGAGGGCAGGAGGAGCACAAGGCCTGTCACGGGGGGAGGAGGAGGTCGTCGGTGCAGGAGGAGGAAGAGAGGAGGACAGAAAATCTTCTCCCTCCTCCTTCTCTGCCCTCAGTGCCGAGGAGCCGTCCATGCTCCAAGTCCTCCAACCTCGCCATGACGGCAGGGAGCGGCATGGCGGCGATCAGAAGCAGCGCAAGGGAGCAACTCAAAGAGCTTCGACCTCCCTCGCAGCCGAGGAGCTGCTCACGATGACAGGAGCTCGAGAGCAAACTTGAAGTTTATGAAAGAGCTTCACGTCTCCTCCTCCTCTGGCTCTCCGATTCTCTCTTCTCCCCTCCTCAGCCATAGCTCCTTTCGCGCCCAACTTCGTCATATCCTCAATTGGCAACACTCACTGTCCTCCACTCGTTGAGCCACTCTAGCGAGCCTTCAAATCTTGAGAGCAAACCATGACATCATCGTCATCGTCATCATCGTCGTCATCATCATCATCGTCATCGTCATCATCATACAACAAGATAAACACAACAGTCGAACTAGACACAACACACAATACACCCCTTCCTCTTTAACCTCAACCACCATCCTCCCCCGCAACTCTCCGCCTTCACTTAGTCGGGTCGTACTCCTCCACTTCTCGCAAGCCCGTTTGCTTCGAGCTCGCTGAGCCCATCGCCTTGTCTCGCTCCTCCACGATCTTCGCGTTCGCCCTCGTCGTCTGCTGCTCATACTGCGAGCTCAGAATCTCCTCCTCTGTCGGCGGGTCCTTCCGATGGTGCTTCAGCCACATGCGCCACTCTGACGGGATTTCGTTCATGCTGAAGTCAACCTGGTCGCAACATCACGAGTCAGCGCTTGCGACGGCTAGCGGTAGCAGCCCACCATGTCCTTAGATACAAACTCAATCTCCCTCTTGGGGTCAGGGACGCCGCCAGGGTTGGCGATCTCCCAGAACTTGTTGCCATGTTCGTCTGCCCCTATGAATTTCTTGCCCTGTATCCTGTTCGATAGAGCCTGCAGGTAGGAAACGATGCTCCTGGTTCCTATAGAGAGTATCAGCAATCCATCCAACCCATCTCAATCCTCTCTACCCAGCTCTCTGCATCGGTGCTTTCCCTGGAGGCACGTCAAGGAAAGGCTACTGCAGAAAGAGTCAGAGTCCAGTCAAGGGTGAGAACTATATAGCCCTCCTCCTCCTCCT